AACATCGATTGTTAGTTCTTAAAACAATATTTAACAGTACACGGCAATGTGCAATCTCATTTGCAATGATAAATACCCGGTCGTTTGAAGATGATTAACAAAAGTTTGTAATACATTTTTCTGCAAATTGATAGACGATCCGCATTTTTGTGCACTTAAACTGCTTCAGTGTGTATAATAGTGTGTGTACTTTAATTGAAAATTTAAAAGAAGGCGAAACTCGAACAGGCATTTAGTACATGAGCACCCTTAACCGAGTATTTGCAGTATCTGCAGCTTCTCCCTTGATAATTTGTTGATTCATTGTTATCAGCGTTATAAAATAAACTGCGCCGAACACAATAATATCACACTCAATAATTGATAAATCAAAATCTCTGTCGGTTTAATAACGCAATGTGTATTTGAAAAGTTTATCAGATCTACAGATGCACCCGCACTAAGAGAAAAATGTCGAATCAAAGTGCATTTGTGCGTCCCAAGCGCGAAGAGGCCGGAGTGGTTCAAATCGGTTCACCCTCCCGTAAAAAAAGTGAGTTTGGTCTGACTTGACTTTGAGACACCCTGTATCATATGTTGTGACGACGGCTTACTGGGATCATATTAAAATTCCTGGTCAGCTGGCACGCTCCCAACAACTTTTACAAAACAACAAATTAGGGATACGAAATTCCTACGTGTTTTTTGGTGTGGAGAACGAGTCATTTTCTTTAGATAGGTACACCCTACTTGCCAATAACGCGTGATCGATATGTTTCCTGATAATGATTAAAGTTGCCGTTACTCAGAAAGGCTGAAAATACTGACAGATAAGTAAATAGGGTAATTATAGTGTTACCCAGAAATGTGCCTGGGTCGCAGAAGCTGCCGATTCGTGGTAAACTGTTACATTAATGAAGTGGTCGGATAACAATTAAAATAATAATAGGCAGTAGGTACTTCCACAGGAACAGGAAAACATGTTTAATTGATGGTTGCACGTACACGTAAGCCATATTATAGCAATGAAATTCCTTCAAAGGATCATACAATTTCGGAAATGATCCTTGGCAAAGTATTCCAATCGCCCAGCCAATAAACAACACATCTGCTAAGAGCTTATCTTATTAGATAGTCTCGGTCTATGGTTCCAGGAAAAGTAAACAGATCTTAATTCTGTAGTATATAGGCACATAATATATTCGCAGTGTTTCGCACTAAACAAGAATGGTTTGGTCCTTTCCATAACTGTGAAGATGATATTTCACGTATTTATGACTTCATTATCTATTTCTTAATAGAACTCTTCCCCCACTCGACCTCTCACATGCATCAATGACGGGGCGCACATGTGTTTAGTTTATTTGCACCGAGTGCAAACACCTAGATGAACTGGAAGTTCTCATTTGAAAAGGAAAGGCTTATTTGGGTATGCCATACGAGTATCGATGGGTACTGAACTGCAGTTTTTGATTCAGAATTGTATTTATGTTGGTCGGTAAGCACAGTCCATGCATTTTGTGAAGAAACTGCAGCGTTCTGAGTGGTTTTCGATAATACGTCTGAGAGACATTCCAATTATTATCCCCAAAATTAAAAATACTGCTAGGAAGTGAAACATATACTTACGACACACCTTGGCATGGAGGTTGGAGCTTAAAATACTTATGGCTTATTACAGCCCGCAGGGCAAGTGTGTCGAATCAACAAAACAGCAATGACGTTGCATTGATTCTATCACAATTCTAGAGACAAACACAGCCTTCTGTCCAAACGGCAATAGCTCACCTTGATTTTCCGAGGATTTTGGCATTGGTCCACACTGTTTTCACGTATTGAACTACACTAGATCGTCACAACTTGGCACATTTGCATTTTCAACGCAATTTTAGGTTAGTCCGTTCTGTAATGCGTAACGCAACGCAGTAATGATTGTTTTTCCGCTCGTTACTCCGTGCCATAGGCAAAACTACTGACGCTTCAGTATAACCAAATGCTATCAATATCGGACTATCGCCGATTCGCTACTCCCCAGTCGAAGCCGAGGTCGCGAGAGTTGAAATACTCGAATCTTGAGGTTACACCTTATACAGGGAAGGAATAATTTTATATTATACCAGCACGAAATTGGGGGTTGGCTTTACGATGCGATCTGGTACTAGGATTGCCGCTTTGCCGATTAAGACTATGCTCACCTTATAGAAAATCTCGTAACAAACAATATTTTTCGTA